TTTCTCTCAGGGTAAAATATGTGACTGGCCTCTTGAGATTAATCTTTTTTGCACAGAAGTGTCCCTATGGATACAGTGTAGTTAGGCTTATTACACTAAGTCATGTGTGAATGTCTTCACATCAGTTTGTCTAAATGCAATGGCATAACAAATGGGGAAGAAGTTTTACCCTTCTACGGAAGACAAACAGTAGCAGCATTTAGCCTAAAACTCCAACATGTCATCTTTGATTACTTAGATTTGTCTGTATATTGAAATGTCTATTTCAATGTATAGGAAATGTGAGATTTTTTCTTTCCAGTAAAATTATGTGATGAGCAGCCAATCTTGTCGGCAGATCGACAGATGTCGCAAACTTTGATTTCTGAACTATCTGTCATATCTGAAGTCGCATGCTCAAGCAGAATGAGATAGGATAAGACAGAAAAATGTTGCGTGGATGGTTAGCAGCACTTCATTACAATTGTGTGCAGCTTCGGCCTGCTGAATGTGTCGGCTGAGGGACTGATGTCATGGGGTTTAAGCTCCAATTTATTGATCCTGTCTGATGGCGCACTGTTCGAGCATAAAGACAGAAAGCGAGAAGATTATTGCATGCCCCCTTCATGAGAGCCTGGAGGAGAAAGTGAGGTGTTTCCTCAGAGCTGGATGAATCGTCTCAGCTTTATAAGAGATGTATGGGTTTAAAAAAAGTAAAAAAAAAAAAATGATACTCAACTAGGTGGATGCACTATCGATCCAGTGCTGCTATAAGACTGAGAACTGATAGCCTGAGCCAACTGGCCGGGATCTTTTCAGAGCCTGGATCAGCTGAGTGATGTCAGGCCATAGTGGGCTTTAGCTTTGGCTAAGAGGACAGAGGACTTTACGTGAATTAAAGAAGTCTTGTTTTCATGATACTTGGATGACTTTGTATGGAAACAAGTAGACTTATTTTTTATAGATATGAAGCACCTTTTTACCCATTTATTAAAATTTATGTCCAAAGTTCAGCTTTAATGAATTTTTAAAGTGGAAGTAAAACCAATTTTTTATCTTTTACCTACAGGTAAGCTACATGTGTGGGATTGACAACATCGCGGCTTGGCCAATCAGATGGCCACAGATCGCGAACCAGAAGGAAGACCTGGTAAGGTTTGAAGCCTCGGGAGCCATGACAGCACTCCACTGGAGGGCTTAATTTTCAGGTAAGTCTTTCATAATGTGCTAGTATGTGATGTATACTAGCACATTATGCTCTTAACTTGCAGGGAGAAAATTTTTTAGATTTTTTTTTTTGGCTGTTTACTACCACTTTAACTTCAGTAGTTGGTGTTTTTAATTTTTCTGGAATTCGGCTGTTAACAAAATTACCATGTAAAGAAATAAACAACAAACTTCCCTGTTGTTTCCCTTTAAGGTGTTGGCTTGCATCGCTGAGAGTGTTTGTGGCAGTTTTGCTTATGATAATAATCTTATGGAATGATAACATCCTTCAATTTTTTCAGCATTATAGAGAATGTCATAGTACTACGATTAGATTACAATGTGTCATCCACAGTCATATTCAAGTGCTTCCTGTTCATCAGAAAACAAATCAACCACCAATATTTAATTCTGTTCTTCCAGTTCAATGTGACACAACATCTCGCAGGAAAGCAACTGCTTTGTTATGTCATATTTCCACAGTAGAGGTTTGCCTTCTAATCAAGAGTAATCAACTTATACTATGTGTTTGACTATTAGAGTTCAAGCCACACAAGGTTAAAATAAATGGTGCAAAGTATGACCTGCAAAAGAAGAGGCCTTCTACCATTTTCTCAGATCTTCACTTTGCTCCAGTGACCTACCTAAATGATCTTTACATTTGAAATTTCCAGAAATGTAAGTTGTCTCACACTTTGGATCCTTCTGCAGACCCTTGCTTCACTTCTGTGGTGTCACAGGGACCGGTGGAAGGTACTACAGTACGCAGCGAGGAATCTCACCCAAAAGTATGATAGCAATTGCCTCTTTATTTCTGACTAAGAAATCAAAGATTGGAGGAACAGGTGACAGGAGAGATGAGTCATTTCTTAAGCAGACTGTAATTTGCTACATTTTTTTTTTAACTCCACAAGACAGTCCCTTTTAAAGAGTGACTTTTTGTTTCTTTCTATCAGTTTTCCATCTAAAATGGAACTAAAATTGAACTCCAGAAAACCTGTTAATACACTTATGAAAAATTATTTTTAATTATTTTAAACCTGTCTTGCAATCCAGGCACACCCACCATACAGCACAACAAGATCTTGAAACTACAGTTGTCCTTTTAGGTTGCCCTCCCTAGCAACACAAATATTCCCAAATATCCCACTGCTCTAATCAGCTGCCAAGAGCCAGGAAAGGAAGTCTGGTGCTCTAGTTGATCTTGCAAGGGGCTGAAGGCTCCCTTGCCTCAGTGCTGGGCCAATTACCAAGCTGCGGTGTTGTAATATAATAAGAAGGGAAGCGAGTCGCATGCTGCTCCATACCATGAAATACAGCGTATTTTCTGCACTCCTGGTTGTGATTAAAGCTGGTGTCCGACCACTGCCCTTGTCACCAACTTGTGACAAAAGACTGCACCCCACGCTGTCACGCATCCAACAATGCCACTCTCAGCCCCACGCTGCACAAAGATTTTCCAGTTTGTAGGACCACAATCTGGGTGCCAACAGACTGAGAGTGACTAAGCAATGAACGCCTTAAACTGCCACCACCAACTTTTACTGAAGATTCGGAAGCTTTCACAAGATTAGCAATTACAATTATGAAAACAAACGTCTGTACACACACTGTCACCACAAACAGGCATATTCAAAGGATTATACTACAGTCGCACTCTTCAAGAGACAGGGATTCTTTGGGTTTGCATTAGCGCATTCAAAATATAGTTTAATTATGAAAAGGGTAAAATGATGCAAATACAATATTTACAAAAAAACACTTGCAAACTTCTTGGTTTCAGCAGAGTTCAGTCAATGAGCCAGGTGTTATTGGCTCTCATAACTTGACAGATGTTCATTGGTTGATGGTATACGAGAGCTGTCAAAATGTCCGAGCATTCCCCTTTTCTGTGGTATCAAAGGGGTGTTGTGTGTTCACAGAGGCCATCTGACCAATTAAGAGCCTGGGGAGTGATTTCTGAGATGTCACTGTGTATATGAATATGCACCCAGATAGTTTTCTATAGGTATTCATCAGTCTGCTAACCCTTTTGAGGACCATAAGATTACCGTCATCAATATAAAAATAATTTTTTTCCCTTTAATAATGTATTTGAACAATAAATAAAACCATTTCCACACTTGTGTCATTTTAGGGGGAGGAGTTATGACACGGGACAAATGTGTCCCTATGGTCCTCAAGGGAGACAAGCATTGTCTGTTTCTGGAACTTTAAATTTACTTTACAATAAATTCTAAAGAAGGTCATAATAAATTGAGTCAAATTCTGCTACTCTTAAACTATTTTGACATTTATTCAGATACTTGCTCGAAACAATTTCAACAATAACATGTATTTATGTACATATGCTAACAGCCTCATGGTAGGCCAAAACCAAAAACGTATGCATCAAGGTACTGTCACTGTCTCAAAATGCAAAGATGCAAAATCTCAATATGTGATAGTCTATGATAGTCAGAAAAGCAGTTGCGTGTCTTTGTGTAACAAAGGTGCACGTTACATGTGTCACAGAGGCTGTCCGTGCGATTTTCATTCCCATGTTTGGCACATTGAGCACATCGTTTGCGTCTATCGAATCTAATCATGGAATGTTTCAGCTTTGGTGCTGGAAAGGACACTTCGTGAACTTCTCACTGGCACTGACGGAGCATTTCTTTGTCTGTTGGAGTATCCACCCACCAGACTCCTTGCTATCATCTGCCCGATATTCCAATGGTGTAATCGCTTTGTACTCTGGGTGCCTCTCTTCATTTGCTTGTATATAAATGCAGTGAAAGTTGTTTACAGCAATATCTAGGAGATCAAAGAAAATCCTCAAATAAATCTTTATTTTTGACCTCCGGTCTGTCTCGTAGGACACTTTCTTCTGATCCACCAGGTCCACACCCCCCTTGTACTTGTTGTAAATAGTAACAATGGTTGGGCATGGAATATGCAGCTTTTCTGCACATCCTGCCTGCCTTCTCAGCACATGCATCATATCATCCTTTTTGCATGTAAGGAAATTTGACAACAGTGTCACTGATCTATTGTCCATCCATTTTACACGTGTGACGCCATTTGCACTCATAGTATCCACATCTCCTCGTTTCATTTCTTTGTCAGCTTTCAAGTTTTTGGGCATATTTTTTCTGTCCACACAAACTGTACCACAAAGATAGATCTTCTGCAACATCTCGTATTGCAGCAGTGGAGAATTTAAAAAATTGTCGATGAAAACCTGAAAGCATAGCTGTTCTAGTTGTTTTGTCAGCATAACAATGACACTCTCTCCAAAACCATGTTCTGTGTCTGTTTTTTGTCCAGTATAGATGTCAAACTGATAAAGGTAGCCTGAGATAGCATCACATCTGCACCATAGCTTGAATCCCCATTTCACAGGCTTGTTTCTGTTGTACTGCTTCATGATGTTTTGACCTTTATATTTTATCATGTGCTCATCAATCGACTGTTGCTTGGATTTCTTGCAGCCCGGAAGCATCGATTGAAGTGCTCGATCAATGGACGAACTTTGAAAGCTCTATCACACTGGGGATGAGTTCTAGGTAAAATGTCCTCATTATTTGCAAAGTGCAAAGCAGAGCGAATTGCTTCAAATCGAGCACGACTCATTGTATTTGCTATAAATGGTACCTGAAGATCTGGCTGAGTAGACCAATAGTCTCTGATCGATGGCAGAACATGATAACTAGAGATGAGCGAAGTATTCAAAAATTTGATTCGGCGAATTCGTGGAAAAATTTCGATTCGAGTCGAATATATTCGCTGCGAATTTAACTTATAAAAGGGTGTTTCTAGGCTTCAGAGAGCCTTTATATTAGTGCAGAACACTGTACCTTTAATTTAAATGCCCTTGGAGTCTGCTGGGGAAGAGAAATAATACTGACAGTCAGTATGACATGCAGATGAGTGCCGTCGATCTTAGAATCACCGCACACTTCACTCATTTGGGCAGTCACGGGGCCAAAACCAGAGTGTGGAGCCACAGTGTGGCGGTGGAGGCAGCAGCAATGGGAGGCCATACAGCACCCTATGACAAAAATGGAAACCACCAGCAGTGTGAGGAGACCTGAAAAAGGCACATGGCAGAGTGTGGCGATGGAGACAGCAGCAATGGGAGGCCGTACAGGGACCCATGACACACTCTGGACCTGGCAGCAGCATGAGGAGGAGGCGGTACAGGGGCCCATGGCAGATTACGGGCCTGGCAGCAGCATGAGGAGTTGGTACGGGGGCCCATGGCAGATTACGGGCCTGGCAGCAGCATGAGGAGTCGGTATGGGGGCCCATGACACGCTCTGGACCTAGCAGCAGCATGAGGAGGCGGTACAGGGGCCCATGACAGATTACGGGCCTGGCAGCAGCATGAGGAGTCGGTACGGGGGCCCATGACACACTCTGGACCTGGCAGCAGCATGAGGAGGCGGTACAGGGGCCCATGACAGATTACGGGCCTGGCAGCAGCATGAGGAGTCGGTACGGGGGCCCATGACACACTCTGGACCTGGCAGCAGCATGAGGAGGCGGTACAGGAGCGCATGACAGATTACGAGCCTGGCAGCAGCAACTTGGACAGGAGGACGTTCAGCTTCTGCACCGTCGGGTGCGTGCTCGCAAACTGTTGTCTCTTGGAAACGGATTCCAAGAAAGACTGCTGACGGAATCCGTGAAGAGGAGTAGCAGGAGAAGGAGCATCTGAACGAGCGGAATATGCCAACAAGCGACAACAGGGGCCCATGACAGATTACGGGCCTGGCAGCAGCATGAGGAGTCGGTACGGGGGCCCATGGCAGATTACGGGCCTGGCAGCAGCAATGGGAGGCCCGTAATCTGCCAGCACCCTATGACAAAAAATGGAACACACCAGCAGTGTGTGAGGAGACCTGAAAGTGGCACACGGCAGAGTGTGGCGATGGAGACAGCAGCAATGGGAGGTCGTACAGGGACCCATGAGAGACTCTGGACCTGGCAGCAGCATGAGGAGGCGGTACTGGGGCCCATGGCAGATTAGGTGCCTGGCAGCAGCAATGGGAGGCCCGTAATCTGCCAGCACCCTATGACAAAAAATGGAACACACCAGCAGTGTGTGAGGAGACCTGAAAGTGGCACATGGCAGAGTGTGGCGATGGAGACAGCAGCAATGGGAGGCCGTACAGGGACCCATGAGAGACTCTGGACCTGGCAGCAGCATGAGGAGGCGGTACAGGGGCCCATGGCAGATTAGGGGCCTGGCAGCAGCTATGGGAGGCCCGTAATCTGCCAGCACCCTATGACAAAAAATGGAACACACCAGCAGTGTGTGAGGAGACCTGAAAGTGGCACATGGCAGAGTGTGGCGACGGAGACAGCAGCAATGGGAGGCCGTACAGGGACCCATGAGAGACTCTGGACCTGGCAGCAGCATGAGGAGGCGGTACTGGGGCCCATGGCAGATTAGGGGCCTGGCAGCAGCAATGGGAGGCCCGTAATCTGCCAGCAGCCTATGACAAAAAATGGAACACACCAGCAGTGTGAGGAGACCTGAAAGTGGCACATGGCAGAGTGTGGCGATGGAGACAGCAGCAATGGGAGGCCGTACAGGGACCCATGAGAGACTCTGGACCTGGCAGCAGCATGAGGAGGCGGTACAGGGGCCCATGGCAGATTAGGGGCCTGGCAGCAGCTATGGGAGGCCCGTAATCTGCCAGCACCCTATGACAAAAAAAAATGGAACACACCAGCAGTGTGAGGAGACCTGAAAGTGGCACATGTTTGGGGCATGATTCATGGCGGATTTAGTCAGTTGTGTCAGGAACTGGTGGTTTGAAATCCAGACTAATCCACGCCTGATTCATTTTCACAAACGTGAGTCTCTCCACACTTTGGGTGGACAGTCGTGTCCTCCGCGGAGTTACAATACCTCCTGCCGCACTAAACACGCGCTCCGATGCCACGCTACTGGCCGGGCATGACAGCCTTTCAAGGGCAAATTCAGCTAGTTGGGGCCAAAGGTCAAGTTTCGTTGCCCAGTAGTCAAGGGGATTGTCTACCTCGGTTGGCAGGGTGCTGTCCAAGTAGGCCCAAGCCTGTTGTTTTGAGGTCCTGCTCCAGGTCCACCTGATGCTGCTGCTGCTGCTGCTGCGGCTGGTTAGTAGTTTCCTCACTGCGCTGGTGAAGAAAGCTACTCATCATCGACTGCAGACTGAGGCAGCCGCTGCTGGTGGAGCTGCCACTGCTCCTACCACCCCACCCCTCCTTTGCTGCCATGGCAGCGGAACGCGAGCGCACAGGGCCCACAGTGTCTGAGGATGGACGTTGGCGCACAAAGGCAGAGACCAACTGACTACATAGGTGGTTTTTATAGTACGTTATTTTGGCTCCCTCAGCAGGTGTGAAAAAGGCCACCATTTTTGAACGGTAGCGAGGGTCCAAACAAGGTGGACAGCCAAAAGTCATCCCTCTGTCTGATGGTTATTATTCGGCTGTCGCTACGCAAGCAACCGAGCATGCTATGGGCCATTTGTGCCAAGGAATGCGAGGGACTCCCTGCCTCCATCTCCACAGCATACTGCCACGGTGCATCTGGGTCCTCTGTCTCCTCCTCCTCCTCCTCTACCAGATGCTCCTGCTCCTCCACTCCTGTCCGCTGAGTGGAAAAAACCACCACCCATTTCACTCAATAATTCCTGAGCACAAATGTCCTCCTCTACCTCCTCCTCTTCTTCCTGTCCTGCCCCCACAGGGGTCATGTGGCGTTGAGATCTGTGCGCCACGTCTACCGCACCCTGACCAGCCATTGTTAACAGCATTTGTTCCAGGACGTGCAACAGAGGAATGACGTCGTTCATCCCATAGTCCTGCCGACTCACGAATAGCGTGGCCTCCTCAAAGGGCCTGAGCAAGCGGCAGGTGTCACGCATGAGCTGCCAATGGCTGACATCGAAGTTACACAGGGGAGTACCTTTATCCGCTTGTAACATCAGGAAATCGGTGATGGCCTTTCGCTGTTCGTAAAGGCGGTCTACCATGTGTAGGGTTGAATTCCACCTTGTTGCAACGTCGCAGATCAGGCGATGCTGTGGAATTCCGTTCTGCCGCTGCAGCTCAAGGAGGGTGTGCTTTGCGGTGTAGGAATGGCTGAAATGCATGCAAAGTTTACGTGACATTTTAAGGATGTCTTGCAGTGGGATGGTGGATTTTAGGAACCGCTTGACAACCAGATTGAACACGTGAGCCATGCATGGCGCATGGCACAACCTTCCTTGATGCAGAGCAGACACCATGTTCTTTCCGTTGTCGGTCAACATGGTTCCGATTTTCAGTTTGCGCGGAGACAGCCATCTGTCGATTTCTCTGTTCATTACACTGAGAAGTTCCTCCCCTGTGTGTGACTACGTTCGCCTGGACCTGGCAGCAGCATGAGGAGGCGGTATAGGGGCCCATGGCAGATTAGGGGCCTGGCAGCAGCAATGGGAGGCCCGTAATCTGCCAGCAGCCTATGACAAAAAATGGAACACACCAGCAGTGTGAGGAGACCTGAAAGTGGCACATGGCAGAGTGTGGCGATGGAGACAGCAGCAATGGGAGGCCGTACAGGGACCCATGAGAGACTCTGGACTTGGCAGCAGCATGAGGAGGCGGTATAGGGGCCCATGGCAGATTAGGGGCCTGGCAGCAGCTATGGGAGGCCCGTAATCTGCCAGCACCCTATGTCAAAAAATTGAACACACCAGCAGTGTGTGAGGAGACCTGAAAGTGGCACATGGCAGAGTGTGGCGATGGAGACAGCAGCAATGGGAGGCCGTACAGGGACCCATGAGAGACTCTGGACTTGGCAGCAGCATGAGGAGGCGGTATAGGGGCCCATGGCAGATTAGGGGCCTGGCAGCAGCTATGGGAGGCCCGTAATCTGCCAGCACCCTATGTCAAAAAATTGAACACACCAGCAGTGTGTGAGGAGACCTGAAAGTGGCACATGGCAGAGTGTGGCGATGGAGACAGCAGCAATGGGAGGCCGTACAGGGACCCATGAGAGACTCTGGACTTGGCAGCAGCATGAGGAGGCGGTATATAGGGGCCCATGGCAGATTAGGGGCCTGGCAGCAGCTATGGGAGGCCCGTAATCTGCCAGCACCCTATGTCAAAAAATTGAACACACCAGCAGTGTGTGAGGAGACCTGAAAGTGGCACATGGCAGAGTGTGGCGATGGAGACAGCAGCAATGGGAGGCCGTACAGGGACCCATGAGAGACTCTGGACTTGGCAGCAGCATGAGGAGGCGGCGGTATAGGGGCCCATGGCAGATTAGGGGCCTGGCAGCAGCTATGGGAGGCCCGTAATCTGCCAGCACCCTATGTCAAAAATTGAACACACCAGCAGTGTGTGAGGAGACCTGAAAGTGGCACATGGCAGAGTGTGGCGATGGAGACAGCAGCAATGGGAGGCCGTACAGGGACCCATGAGAGACTCTGGACTTGGCAGCAGCATGAGGAGGCGGGTATAGGGGCCCATGGCAGATTAGGGGCCTGGCAGCAGCTATGGGAGGCCCGTAATCTGCCAGCACCCTATGTCAAAAAATTGAACACACCAGCAGTGTGAGGAGACCTGAAAGTGGCACACAGTGTGGCATGAGAGCACAATGTACAGGGACCCATGGACCTGGACCTGGCAGCAGCATGAGGAGGCGGTATAGGGGCCCATGGCAGATTAGGGGCCTGGCAGCAGCTATGGGAGGCCCGTAATCTGCCAGCACCCTATGACAAAAAATTGAACACACCAGCAGTGTGTGAGGAGACCTGAAAGTGGCACATGGCAGAGTGTGGCGATGGAGACAGCAGCAATGGGAGGCCGTACAGGGACCCATGAGAGACTCTGGACTTGGCAGCACATGAGGAGGCGGTATAGGGGCCCATGGCAGATTAGGGGCCTGGCAGCAGCTATGGGAGGCCCGTAATCTGCCAGCACCCTATGACAAAAAATTGAACACACCAGCAGTGTGTGAGGAGACCTGAAAGTGGCACATGGCAGAGTGTGGCGATGGAGACAGCAGCAATGGGAGGCCGTACAGGGACCCATGAGAGACTCTGGACTTGGCAGCAGCATGAGGAGGGCGGTATAGGGGCCCATGGCAGATTAGGGGCCTGGCAGCAGCTATGGGAGGCCCGTAATCTGCCAGCACCCTATGTCAAAAAATTGAACACACCAGCAGTGTGTGAGGAGACTGAAAGTGCACAAAGTGGCACATGGCAGGCCGACAGGGACCCATGGACTCTGGACCTGGCAGCAGCATGAGGAGGCGGTATAGGGGCCCATGGCAGATTAGGGGGCCTGGCAGCAGCTATGGGAGGCCCGTAATCTGCCAGCACCCTATGACAAAAAAAAAATGGAACACACCAGCAGTGTGAGGGACCTGAAAGTGGCACATGGCAGAGTGTGGCGATGGAGACAGCAGCAATGGGAGGCCGTACAGGGACCCATGAGAGACTCTGGACTTGGCAGCAGCATGAGGAGGCGGTATAGGGGCCCATGGCAGATTAGGGGCCTGGCAGCAGCTATGGGAGGCCCGTAATCTGCCAGCACCCTATGTCAAAAAATTGAACACACCAGCAGTGTGAGGAGACCTGAAAGTGGCACATGGCAGAGTGTGGCGATGGAGACAGCAGCAATGGGAGGCCGTACAGGGACCCATGAGAGACTCTGGACTTGGCAGCAGCATGAGGAGGCGGTATAGAGGCCCATGGCAGATTAGGGGCCTGGCAGCAGCTATGGGAGGCCCGTAATCTGCCAGCACCCTATGTCAAAAAATTGAACACACCAGCAGTGTGAGGAGACCTGAAAGTGGCACATGGCATGAGACACTGTGGGACCTGGCAGCAGCATGAGGAGGCGGTATAGGGGCCCATGGCAGATTAGGGGCCTGGCAGCAGCTATGGGAGGCCCGTAATCTGCCAGCACCCTATGACAAAAAATTGAACACACCAGCAGTGTGTGAGGAGACCTGAAAGTGGCACATGGCAGAGTGTGGCGATGGAGACAGCAGCAATGGGAGGCCGTACAGGGACCCATGAGAGACTCTGGACTTGGCAGCAGCATGAGGAGGCGGTATAGGGGCCCATGGCAGATTAGGGGCCTGGCAGCAGCTATGGGAGGCCCGTAATCTGCCAGCACCCTATGACAAAAAAATTGAACACACCAGCAGTGTGTGAGGAGACCTGAAAGTGGCACATGGCAGAGTGTGGCGATGGAGACAGCAGCAATGGGAGGCCGTACAGGGACCCATGAGAGACTCTGGACTTGGCAGCAGCATGAGGAGGCGGTATAGGGGCCCATGGCAGATTAGGGGCCTGGCAGCAGCTATGGGAGGCCCGTAATCTGCCAGCACCCTATGTCAAAAAATTGAACACACCAGCAGTGTGTGAGGAGACCTGAAAGTGGCACATGGCATGAGACACTGTGGACCTGGCAGCAGCATGAGGAGGCGGTATAGGGGCCCATGGCAGATTAGGGGGCCTGGCAGCAGCTATGGGAGGCCCGTAATCTGCCAGCACCCTATGACAAAAAATGGAACACACCAGCAGTGTGTGAGGAGACCTGAAAGTGGCACATGGCAGAGTGTGGCGATGGAGACAACCCACCGACTGTTTTGCTCGCTGCCAAGCTGCCACCCTCTTCTCCTGATGATGCGGAAGCAATAGCCTGATGACGACGAGGCTGCCAAGTGCGATCAGCCTCATCATCATCAATTAGGGTCTCCGCCTCACTACTAGCCCCCTCGGCTGCGTGTGGGTCAGGAGACAGACCTGTCTCTAGACCGGCTACCGAGCCACTCTCCTCGCCACTACTTCTTCGCCTGGCTGCTGAAGAGGCGGATGTCTCCCCCCGTTCCTGACCGCCCTCTGTTAGCTCTTCCTCACTGTACTGGATGACACCGGGAGCACTGGCCTCTGGCTGCGAATAGTGCTGCCTCGACCCCTTCCTCTGCTGCCACGTCTGCTCGCTCCTAAAACATTGCCTCCTCTGCCACTCCTCTGCATGTTGTCTGACATACTCTTTAATTAAACGATTCTGTGTCCCTGAGTAACAATTCTGTGTCTGTCCCTGAGTAACAATTCTGTGTCCCTGAGTAACGTTTCTGTGGCCCTAAGTAACAGTTCTGTGTCCCTCAGTAACAATTCTGTGTCCCTCAGTAACAATTCTGTGTCCAATTCTCAGTAACAGTAAATTCTGTGTCCCTGAGTAACAATTCTCAGTAGTAACAATTCTGTGTCCCTGAGTAAATTCTGTGTCCCTGAGTAACAATTCTGTGTCCCTGAGTAACAATTCTGTGTCCCTGAGTAACAATTCTGTGTCCCTGAGTAACAATTCTGTGTCCCTGAGTAACAATTCTGTGTCCCTTGTAACCTGTGGTCCCTCAGTAACAATTCTGTGTCCCTCAGTAACAATTCTGTGTCCCTCAGTAACAATTCTGTGTCCCTGAGTAACAATTCTGTGTCTGTGTCCCTGAGTAACAATTCTGTGTCTGTCCCTGAGTAACAATTCTGTGTGTCCCTGAGTAACAATTCTGTGTCCCTGAGTAACGTTTCTGTGGCCCTAAGTAACAATTCTGTGTCCCTCAGTAACAATTCTGTGTCCCTCAGTAACAATTCTGTTCCCTCAGTAACAATTCTGTGTCTGTCCTCTGAGTAACAATTCTGTGTCTGTCCCTGAGTAACAATTCTGTGTCCCTGAGTAACGTTTCTGTGGCCCTAAGTAACATTCTGTGGCCCTCAGTAACAATTCTGTCTGTCCCTGAGTAACAATTCTGTGTCTGTCCCTGAGTAACAATTCTTCTGTGTCCCTCAGTAACAATTCTGTGTCCCTCAGTAACAATTCTGTGTCCCTCAGTAACAATTCTGTGTGTCCCTCAGTAACAATTCTGTGTCCCTGAGTAACAATTCTGTGTGTCCCTCAGTAACAATTTCTGTGTCCCTCAGTAACAATTCTGTGTCCCTAAGTAACAATTCTGTGTCCCTCAGTAACAATTCTGTGTCCCTGAGTAACAATTTCTGTGTCCCTGAGTAACAATTCTGTGTCCCTAAGTAACACGTTTCTGTGTCCCTAAGTAACGTTTCTGTGGCCCTAAGTAACGTTTCTGTGGCCCTAAGTAACAATTCTGTGGCCCTAAGTAATTTCTGTGGCCCTAAGTAACAATTCTGTGGCCCTAAGTAACGTTTCTGTCCCCTGAGTAACAATTCTGTGTCTGTCCCTGAGTAACAATTCTGTGGCCCTGAGTAACGTTTCTGTGGCCCTAAGTAACAGTTTCTGTGGCCCTCAGTAACATTTCTGTGTCCCTGAGTAACAATTCTGTGTCTGTCCCTGAGTAACAATTCTGTGGTCCCTAGTAACAATTCTGTGTCCCTCGGTAAGTAACGTTTCTGTGTCCCTCAGTAACAATTCCCTCAGTAACAATTCTGTGTCCCTCAGTAACAATTCTGTGTCCCTCAGTAACAATTCTGTGTCCCTCAGTAACAATTCTGTGTCCCTCAGTAACAATTCTGTGTCCCTCAGTAACAATTTCTGTGTGTCCCTCAGTAACAAATTCTGTGTCCCTGAGTAACGTTTCTGTGTCCCTAAGTAACGTTTTCTGTGTCCCTCAGTAAGTAACGTTTCTGTGTCCCTAAGTAACGTTTCTGTGCCCCTAAGTAACAATTCTGTGGCCCTAAGTAACGATTCTGTGGCCCTAAGTAACGTTTCTGTGGCCCTAAGTAACAATTCTGTGGCCCTAAGTAACGTTTCTGGCCCTCAGTAACAATTCTGTGTCCCTCAGTAACAATTCTGTGTCTGTCCCTAAGTAACAATTCTGTGGCCCTAAGTAACGTTTCTGTGGCCCTAAGTAACGGTTCTGTGTCCCTCAGTAACAATTCTGTGTCCCTCAATAAACAATTCTGTGTCTGTCCCTAAGTAACGATTCTGTGGCCCTAAGTAACGTTTCTGTGGCCCTAAGTAACGATTCTGTGGCCCTAAGTAACGATTCTGTGGCCCTAAGTAACGTTTCTGTGGCCCTAAGTAACGTTTCTGTGGCCCTCAGTAACAATTCTGTGTCCCTCAGTAAGTGTCCCTAAGTAACAATTCTGTGTCTGTCCCTAAGTAACAATTCTGTGGCCCTAAGTAACGATTCTGTGGCCCTAAGTAACGTTTCTGTGGCCCTAAGTAACTGTTTCTGTGGCCCTCAGTAACAATTCTGTGTCCCTCAGTAAAATTCTGTGTCTGTCCCTAAGTAACAATTCTGTGGCCCTAAGTAACGTTTCTGTGCCCTAAGTAACGTTTCTGTGGCCCTAAGTAACGATTCTGTGGCCCTAAGTAACGATTCTCTGTGGCCCTAAGTAACGTTTCTGTGGCCCTAAGTAACGTTTCTGTGGCCCTCAGTAACAAATCTGTGTCCCCAGTAACAATTCTGTGTCTGTCCCTAAGTAACATTTCTGTGGCCCTAAGTAACGTTTCTGTGGCCCTAAGTAACGTTTCTGTGGCCCTAAGTAACGATTCTGTGGCCCTCAGTAACAAATCTGTGTCCCTCAGTAACAATTCTGTGTCTGTCCCTAAGTAACAATTCTGTGGCCCTAAGTAACGATTCTGTGGCTCTCAGTAACAAATCTGTGTCCCTCAGTAACAATTCTGTGTCTGTCCCTAAGTAACAATTCTGTGGCCCTAAGTAATGATTCTGTGGCCCTCAGTAACAATTCTGTATCCCTCAGTAACAATTCTGTCTGTCCCTCAGTAACAATTCTGTCTGTCCCTGAGTAACGTTTCTGTGGCCCTAAGTAACGATTCTGTGGCCCTAAGTAACGTTTCTGTGGCCCTAAGTAACGTTTCTCTGGCCCTAAGTAACGATTCTGTGGCCCTAACTAACGTTTCTGTGTCCCTAAGTAACGTTTCTCTGTCCCTAACTCTCTCCCTGAATACAGCCAGGTCTGCCTCTGTTGAATGACTGGAGGCAAATGGAGAATTCTAAAATGGCCGCCATTTATAGCTCGACCATTACACAGTGCTGGCTGGCTGCTGATTGGCTAATGCGATCACATGTCATGAATGAATGCATTATGGGTCAGCGCGCCTTGTCTGCGCGACTTCCCAGACATCCCCGCTCCGTCGCCGCACATGTCGCCGCCATTTTAGGAAAAATTTCGATTTTTCGAAATCCGAAGTCTGCTTATTTTTGGATTCGACGCGAATCGAAATTTTCCTAATATTCAAAACGAATTCCACTTCGCCTACTTCGATTCGCTCATCTCTAATGATAACCCATAACAAGACATATTCCAAAGAAGGCTCGAAGCTCATCTGCATTTGTCTGGAATGGAATGCCCTTTCATATAAAGCTCACTTTGCTCCACAACGAGTGAGACTAAAGTGCTGAAATCAGATGCTTGTTCAAAGACTTCAACAGCATCAGTATCTGCAGAGTCATCTAATTTCAAGTTCACTTGTCCATAGTCATATTCAGTAGTGTTTGTTATGACTTTAGTTGCTCCTCTTTTCCACCTAAAGTCAAAACAGTGATCACTGACTGAGTTTTTGAACTAGATCACGACTTTTTCGGCAGAGGCAGTTGCTCTCCTTCTTCGGAGTTCACTGCTGAAGTCTGGAGTGTACATTTACATTTCGGTAAGCCATAGAACATCAAAGGTTTGACAGGTAGAGCTGTACAAGCTAGGTTTGTGCTAGAGCTGGGTTCAGTTGAT